TCTTTTGGTAATTCGGGGGCCCTTAGCAGCAGTGGGCTCTGAGTTACAAACTTCTCGGCACAAGGCTGAGCTTCCTGATTGTCTTCCCCTTCTGTTTCCTCGCAGTAGCTTGTGAGTCTGTTACTCACAGATGGATGCTTGTTAACGTTTACAACGAATCACGTACTTCCTTGTTATTCCTCCCTTTCCTCTGTCAACTTGGTTCTGAACTGGTGAAGTCACACACGTGCACCGCCACTCCAGGTCTTGTGTGTCTGCGTGTGGCTGGGACATACCCCCCTTCACATGAGTCTGTTTGTCTGATGTCAACAGAGCTGCCTCCAGCTTTCTTCTGCTTGTTATTTACACAGGTATTCCCCTCTAGGATTTTTACTCTCAACCTGTCTCCATTCTTACACTTTCAAGATGTGTATTTAGCAAGCAGCACCTAGCAGGGTTTTTACTTATTCAATCTGTCAACATGTTTTCTTTTATTTGTATGTTAACATGTCTTCATTTTTATAATTACCGATATATTTGTAAGCATACCATCATTCTCCAAGAGAAATATATTAGCCCATCTGCTCTGTGTTTTCCTTTCTCCTTTCTTGAATTTATTATCTTTGAACACATAGACATACACGCATACACAATCTTATGACTCTCAGCCATTTTTCAAATACTTTAGAGTATTTCTAAAAGAAGGTTTTATTTGTTAAATTTTTAAACTAGTCATTCATATTATGGGTGTTTAAGTGTTTTGCTTGCAAATACATATGTGCACTACATGTGTGTAGTGCCTGCAAAGGCCCGAAGGGGGATTGGATCCCCTGGAACTAGAGTCCATATGGGTACTGGGAATGGAACCTGGGTCCTCTCCAAGAGCATCTAGTGCTTTTAACCATGTAGCCATCTCTCCAGTCCCTAGAACAAGTGTTTATTTTTAATCTTATCAAAATATAATATAAGTTGATCATCTCTTATCAAAAAAATCCAAGCTCTGAGACGGTTTGAGCACCATTATGACATGCAAAGTGGAAAATTCCACACCTGATCTCATGTGATATGTCAGTTAACAGACACACATGCATGCACACACACACTCATGCACACATGCATGCATACCCACACATGCACACATGCACACAGCTCCAGGCTAAGTGCACAAAATGTCACAGATAAATTCTGTATTTAGCCTTGGGTTGTGTACTAAAGATGCCTCACTGTAGGCTTAAGCAAATATTCTAAAATCTGAAGAAGTCTGAAACCCTCTGGCCCCAAGCATTCTGGGTAAGGAATGATCAACCTCACTAAAATTGGATCCCAGAATACTCCAGAACTGTGGTTCTCAACCTTCCTAATACTTCAACCCTTTAACATCGTTCCTTGTGTGGTGTCTGCAGATCTGTGTCCGGGCGGGACATTTTCCCACCGTCATCTGAGCAGACCTTCCTGCTGCTCTGTGTAACCTCCTCCTCCCATGGTCCAAACTCACTCTTGTCGGGACTTTCTCCTGCTAGACCATCATGCTTCAGTCCGAATAACTGCTTTATGAATTCTCTCTTCACTGGTGTCTAATTATCAATATCCAGCCTAAAAAGTTTCGGTCTTGCTTATTGTATTTTTCAGTTCCAAATTCTTCCAATCTTTTCCAAAGTTTTTATTCAATGTTGTGGACACAATAAACACATCACAGCTCCCTTTCTGCAGCTTTCTGGTCTATGATTTTTTGCGTTCCTGGATTCTCATTAATTTTGTCTTTTCCATTTTAAGTGTCTGGTTATTTTCACGTGAGTGTTAGACGCTGTATGTGAAAGGTGGCTTGATTTAAGACTTGAACCGAAATCTTCCCTAGAGGAACCCTGCTTTTTCTCTGGTGGGCAGACAGGAGCACCGGGAACTGGGGTCACCTAGACTCACTGCTAGACTGACAGTGAGCTGACGTGTTCTCAGCATGTTCACTGCTGTCAGGGAGTACCAACAGATACCAGCACCCCACAGTCCCAGTTACTCCCTGGGCCAACGCCTCCTCCTTCCCCAGCCCCTGGGCTCTGCCCTGGGATGAGGAGCAGTGGCATTGCTGAGCACAGGACTGCTGGGGCTGGGACGCACCACCGACAGGAACGGAGGCTACTCTATGAGACCTCCTTAGGCCACAGAACCTGATGGCGTACTTTCAGCTCCAGGACAGGATGTCGATGACATCACTGCTCTCTGTTTCAGGACAGTCAACCCTGAAATTCCCAGGACCAACTGGAGAATCTTAGCTTTTCTTCTGCCAGGCTCAGCTGTACCTAGAGAGTCATAATTTACTTCCTCCTAGAGGCCCAGTCCTCTCCTGTGGACTCCTCTCCTGCTCATCTTTACAGTCTGTGATGTCGAGACAGACCATGACACCTTCTGTCCTCGGGATGATAAACTGAGATCTGGTTGGGTCCATTAGAGTGGGGTCTGAATGGACTCTAGAGTCAGGTCAGGGCCACTGGCAGTAAGAGAGATGTCAAACTCAGTGGAAGACCAGAGAGACTGCTATCACCTGAAGTCAGACGTCATGGGTCAGGGATGACTGGGCTCACAGGGCCGTCTGAGCCTGGGACATGAGTTTTGTGTCCCTCACTGTGTTTGTTGGTCCCTTTCCAGGCTAGTGGGAGTGCTGGAAGCCGCTAACTGCAGCAACGCATCAGAGCTCCCCTCACTGACAGCCTTAACAAAAGGCCTTGACCTAGTCTCAGTCAGTAATTTCACCCCAAGCCTCCGACGGGCTATAAGGAGCCCGGTTTTTGATCACCAGGTACAATTTCGGCTTCACAATCCAGAGCCTGGAGTTGCTCGGCTCAGGAAGTTACAGCTGTGATGATTAATATTGATTGCCAGTTTGATACGATCTGGAATCCCTGAGGAGACAGGCGTCGGCGCACGTCTGTGAGGAACTTTCCAGATTATGTTAGTTGAGATGGGAAGATCCACCCCAACTGTGGCAATACCACCCATGGCTGGGAAGCACCACTCCATGACTGAAGAGCAACACCCCACGGCCGGAGAACATCACCCCATGGCTGGGGAGCACCACCCCACGGCTGGGGAGCACCACCCCACAGCTGTGGAACACCGCCCCACAGCTGTGGAACACTCCCCCATGTGTGGGGAGCACCACCTCGTGGCTGGGGTCCTGGGCTGAATAAAAAGGAGAAAGGAGGTTGAGGACCACCATCTGCCTCTTTCTGCTTTCTGAGTGTGGATGCAATGTGACCAGCAGCCTTGCTTTCCTGCTATCACGGCTTCCCCTGCTCCTGACCTGTGAGCCACAGATTCGTCTTCTTGTCAGACATTTCAAATCTAAGCAAGAAGAATAACAAATACAGAGGGGGAGTGTCAAGTCCTGTACAGGAACTGTGCATGAAGAACAGACTGGGAAGAGCGAGTGGCCACACCAGCCTGTCTTGGAGTCTTCAGCATCCATAGGCAGGGAAGGGTGTGTGTGTGCATGTGTGTGTGCGCGTATGTATGTCTGTGTGTGTGTGTGTGTGTGCGTGTGTGCGCGTGTGCATGTATGTGGTGTGTACTAGTAATGTGTTAAGATGCTCTGCTCCCTCACCCAGGAGGATGCTTGTGACCCTACTTTCCCACACTGTGGTGGGGAAAAATATCCTCCCAAGGTTCTGCTCCCACTTGGATACAAGAAAGATCAAAACCCAAAATGGGTTCCTTGGCACATCTGCCCTGCCGACTGTTCTACAAAGGGTTCCATGGTCAGATATGGTTTTGGAAATGTGCAGATTTTCTCCCGCTGAGAGGCCTTCAAAGGAACATTCAGCTATGTAAGGCTCTGGGCAAACCCATATGAAAGAATGTGGTTACCTTTGTTCAACTAACTTCAGGCCTTGTAGGCATTTCCTGGGAGCGCCCCCATGCAGCGGCTGACTTGTCATGCTCTCCTCTCTAGCTGCTTGAGTTTTCTCAGTGTCTCCCTACTGCAGGCACCCCAGGCTGCAGGTTCTCTGCTAGTCCCAGCTCGGTTGCTTTGAGGCTGATGCAGCCATCTAGGCTTCCCAGCACAAACAAGAACGAAACAGAGAGGACATGGGGCATCATGGAAACTGCTGGACAAACTGCAGGACAGACTGCTGGACAGTGCGTGAGAAGAGTGATCTCAGGACCAGGACAGGGGAGGAGCCCTTGCGGCCCTGTGCCCCATTTATCTCGGGGGAATACAGCTGGGGAAGGAGCCCGTGCAGAGACTGCCGACATCACAGGAGAATTCACCGTCTCTTTACCTTCCTGTCCTCCATCAGCTGACCTGCTCCCTCCTCCACTGTTTCCTTTCCCCTCTCTCTAGCCCTCTATCCTTTCCCACCTCCACCCCTTTTCTCTCTGTCTCTTCTTCCCTTCATCTTACACCACCCTCCTTGCTTACCCCTCCCCTCCTCATTTACCCATCCTCTCCCCCTCCTCATTTACCCATCTCCTCCCCTCCTCATTTACCCATCCCTCTCTGTTGTCTCCTCGCCTTTCTCCCCTTCTCTCCCCTCTCACTCTCCTCCTGACTGTTGTCCTCTTTCCTTTTTACCTCACCCTCCATCTCTCTGTAGCTCTGAATCAGACGTACCCTGCTTTCCCAGTCTTGTGGTTGATCTGCTTTGCTTGCCAACTCCCCTGGCCTTGAAAACTCCCAGTAGGCACAGCACTCTGAGAGCCAGGGCTACAGACAGCACTTGTAGCTTACAGGGCCAGGGGGAAGTGTGAGAGACTCATTCAAAAGGCAACAGAGAGGGTCACGGCGGTGGCAGTTTGGTAGACTGAGCTCAGGGCCTGGTGTACCTCTCAGATGCCCTACCCACGAGGGCGACTCTAGTGCCTCAGAATGGTGTGGAGGCAGGGGTGATGCCGCACCTCTGACGGGCACAGACAAAGTGCTGTCAATCCTGATCTAGGAGTAAGGGAAAGGCTCTGCCCGGGACCCTGGGGGAGGGGACACCCGGGCTCTGGACCCAGGCTTTCCCGCTTGTGTTGTCTCCTCTTACCTTGTGTCCAGAGTGTGGGGATGAAGTCTGGGCTACCAGCAGCCGCACCATGGCGTCCCACTGTTCGGCAGTCTGGCGCTCCCGTGCAGTCACAGTGAAGGCCACCTGCTCGGAGGGGATCTTCAGCTCCCGGGTGGCGAAAACTGTTCCATCCGCCCCAACTTTGAAGTCCAAGCTGTTGGTCTCATACTGCGTCCCTTTGGTACCCAAGCAGCTGCTGAACTTGACTGTAAGAGGAGAGAAGACGGTCAGGATGGCCAGGAAGCAGGCTGCAACAAGTAGCCCTGAGACACTAAGGCCCTCACCAGGCTCTCCTTTGTCTTCCAGGAGAAGTAGCTGGAGAGCAGGAAAAAGGATGGATGAGCATCCCGCCCTCAAACCCAGGTGGACACCGTCCACTCCTGCCAAGGTTTCTGCATGCCCTGTGTGGCTCACCCACACAGGATTCCTACCAGTCTCTGCCTGTGCAGTGTAGATGCCCAGTCCCTTGGCTCTGTTCCTGTGCCTGCGAAGGCTTAGTGTAATAAGGGAACCTGAGAAAGCTGTGTGTCAGGGCTGTCCCCCTACAACTGGAACATTCTGGAAATGGGATCTGCATGGTTGGCCCTTCTGTGACTTAGTGACATCTGACACTTGTCAGACACCTGTGTCCTGCTGGGGGCAGAGGCAGGATGACAGGCCTGGCTCAGCCACAGACTTTCTTAGTTAGTCACACAGTTATCAAAGCCTGTTCACACTGCTGGGTACCGCATCGTTTTGCTTCCAAAACATTAATTAGGCAACCAAAATGTCAGCCCCTCCTGACGCACCAGTGCTTCAGCCACTTCCAACTCCACTGTGGAGAGAGACGTCTCCAGGACTGCATATTCGTCTGGCCCACGTTAGTGCATTTTTTAGACACGTGCTTTTGTGACTGCCACCCAACTCCGTGGTAAATTATGAAGCACCAACAGCTGGTGTCACATTCTGCTGATAAAAGCAATGGATAAAGTTACCCGGTATTTATAAAAATGTGGGTATCTAAGCAATTATGGTGGGAGGATTGGTTTTATAAGCAATTCCACTGTCACAGCTTACATGATTTAATTACTATTTATTCTAGAAACTAAAAAAAGGGACTTGCACTTACATTTGATGAAGCGTTTTTCCTGCAAGTTCACCTTTTATTGCTGCCCGCCTTGAAATAATAAATAACATGTGGTTCCCTTGACTCCAACCACTCACTAGAGACGGCTCCCCAGTCGTGGGTTCCTCCTGCTTGTGGGTCTAATATGAACGTGCTTTTATTTTATTACTATTATTAATTATTATTATTATTGAGACAGGTTTTCTATACATAGCCCTTGCTATCCTGGAACTCTCTTTGTACATCAGGTTGGATTTGAATTCAGAGATCTGCCTGCCTCTGCCTTCCAAGAGCTGGGATTACAGATGTATACTGTACCGTTATGCCTGACTAGAAAATGTTTTTAATATAACAAGACCAGGCATTTCTGCTCTCTCGGGTGACAGGGCGGTCAGTGTAAAGAACCTGGATAGGTCTTCCGAGGATCAGGGTGTGTTCCTGTGACTAAGCATCCTTGAAGCTGGAATTAGGCGGTTTGCACTATATCAGAGGCTAAGGCAACACGGCATTCTCCCACACTTTACTCTGTCAAAGGGTCTGGGTCCTCAAATAACTTGATATCATTATAACTTCATTGTATTGTGGGCTTGACCCTGCCCAGTGTAGATTGGTGAGATTGCTCACGGGATGAAGACACCGCCATGAAGCCTGATGACCTGAGTTTGGTCCCTGGCATCCATAGGTCCGAAGGACAGAACCGACTTTCCAACTGCCACTGCAGCCTGTGCTGCCCCTTCCATAAACAAACAAGCAAATTCATGAGCAAATGTAGTAAAATCAGAATGCAGAGCCCAGGGGACTGCTCTCCACCTGGGGGCAGCTTGCTCTGGAGGGCTTTACCAAAGGAACTCCTGTTTAGCCTATCTGCATCTCTTAACTGAATTCTTTCTCTCCAGACGACAAGGACTGCATGTCCCTGTTTCTTCCTCTCCAGAGGACAAGGAGTGCAGGTCCTCATTTCTCTGGGGGACCAGATGGTTGGGTTTACTTTTCCACTGATGAACAAACTGTCTTTTTTCTCTCTTTTTTTCAAAAAGAAATTAGTAAACTGGCTCAGACATATACAAGTTAAAATCAGCAAAGATCTAGTGGGCCTATCACTGCTGATCCCCAACTGTTATGATCAGCACAAAATACTCAGAGAAGCCCCCGTGTGTTCTAAAAGCCAATTCCTAGTAAAATCAATGAAATTTGACAATGCTGGGGACTGACGTCTTAACCCCTCCACGGGCAGGGAATCCCGTGGAGTGGGGGTGGTGGGGAGGTGATGAAGAAAACCCTTAGGGCTGCAGCAGGGCACGGATCACGGATTCCAGCACGCACCGGAGTCCTGCGTGCTGGGTACGACCCTGCAGGGTTCAGTTACAGTTAAAGGAACAGCTGCAGCCAGAGGGTCCAGGGCTAGAAGGCACTGGCGCAAAGGACCTGCGGACAGGACTCATTGGTCAGTAGAGTCCAAGCTGCATCGAATCCCTGCAGCTTGCTTCAGGGTCAAGCCATCACAAATACCTTCTTCTCTTCCCATATCAGGACTTTTCAAATTTTTCTTATCTTTTGAGATAAGGTCTCACTATTTAGCCCAACCTGGCGACAAACACACAGAGATGCGCTTGCTTCCGCCCTCCCCCCCGAGTGTTGGCATTACGGGTATGCACTACTGAGCGCTGTGCCCGACTTAGGACACTTTGATAATCTATCTGTCTAAGGCTCAAGCGGTAAAGCTTGCAGCAAGCTGATGTCCTTGGACTGCTGCTGGCATCGTGTGCAACTTCTAAGTTACACCGGGGCCAAGCCTCACGCGTCAGAATGCCTTTCAAAGCCCTGTTGTGTGGAAGCTGAAACCCGGCAGTCTAGGGCTCCCTGAACACGACCGCACAGCCCTCATCACGGGTCCTCAACAGCTGAGCACCATTTCTCTTCCAGACGGGTTCAGATCCCCTTGTTTAAAATGCTACCCTACACCTCTCCCGTGCCCGCAGACCCAGCAGCACAGGTGCAGCCATGCCTGCAGACACGTCTGCAGATGCATCCAGTGCGCCCTGCATCCCAGTCACCTTGCGCAGCAGAAGGGAGCTCCGCTCTTATCAGGAGGCTGACTGACCTTTAACCTTCGCCCTCGTCACTTTTAATTGCTGGCTCTATGGGTGGAGCTGGTGTGGCACAGGTTTGCAGAGGTGGCCTGGCATTCACAGGGGCGGCAGACTGCTTCTCCCCAAGACAGAATGCTGCAGAATTGTGCTGTGTCTGCGAACACCTTGTTTTATTATTTCCCTTGTTAGGTGAGTTGGGAAAGATCAAATGAGCTGGAGGTGAGCGTGAAGCTGGATCCTTGCCGAGGGACAGATGAGCTTCACGCCTGCTGTTCCGCTCGCAGGGCCAGCCATTTTCACTCCATCTCCCCGCTCCTTCAGCCCGCCCTCCCACGATGGCTCGGGGTCTCCCTACCATCCAGCCAGGGTTCTAGGTGTGAACAGGCAGACTCAGAGGTTGCCCAGGTGGATCTTGGTGTACCGAGGAGAACATAAGGACGAGCCAGAGTGTAAACAAAACCTCGGTGGCCAGGTAGAGGCAGTGTTTGTCTCCCCTCGGTGTCAGAGGAACTGTTCTTAGGAGAGACCGCAGAGCAAAGGCGCTGGGATGGGGATGGAATGACCTGCGGAGGATCACGGAAGGTGCTTCGTTGAGTGTGATGAGGGGGGGTGACCTTGTGGATGTGCGGTTGTGTGAACTGTTGCTATTGGCGATAAGGCACCCACTGGGAATGATCAATGCTCCCTCCTTAATGAGACTGAACAGTTAGCCCGGCATGGGTCATGTACGGCTGCCCCCGCCCTGGCTTGATTTTCTTCCACCTGCATCTTTGTCTTGTACTTGCTGTGATGTGTGGCCAGAACACCCATCATTAGGTGAGGAACTGTGTGCAGCTGGGGAACCCTTAAGTCAGAGCCCAGCACCTGTTGACAGGCTCTCTGCCTGCAGCTTGCTCCAGCCTGCATCGCTGGCTCCCAGGTGCAGGTCCATGCAGAGATGGGGCTCCCTCCTTCTGTGCTAAGATGTCTGAGGGCAGTGAGGCATAGGGTATATTGATGCCCTGGAATGTCAAGTCACTGGACACGGAGCCTCCTCAGATGGGAGAAGCAGGGGGGTTGGGGACAGAAGTTTGTTGGGTTTTGTTACAAGGGGTCTGGTGGAGTAGAGCTGAGGTTATTACTGGGGCAGAGGTTGCTTCTCTGATTCCCACCAACCTAGCCTGGAAATGGAAAGGATGTCATTGGAGCTGCAGGCAGGCTTCTGGGGCCCCTGTATGGGTCTGATTTGAGAATTCCTTCCCCAGGAGGTTGGATCTACCCACTCCTTACGAAGTGCCAGTGACAAACCACGGTATCATTCCACCAAACTGGGAAGCAATGAGTTGATCTTGCTTACAGAACACGGGTGATGGCTTTTCTGTAGACTGTGGGTAGCCTCAAAGGAGCCACACTGGAAAACTTTTACCCAGAATAGATAGAGAACCCAGTGTGAAGAGATGGCTTAGCAGTTAGGAGCACTGGTTGTTCTTCCAAAGGTCCTGAGTTCAGTTCCCAGCAACCACATGGTGGCTTACAACCCTCTGTTATGATATCTGGTGACCTCTTGAGGAAGAGACCTGGTCAGTCGTCCTCATCAACTTAGAGCATAAAATCCAATATGGACAAGTTCAACAGCACCACCATATATGAGCTGCCCATGCATGCTTCAGCATCGCCAGGGCATAAATTTCATTTAAATTATAATTTCAGACGGAGAACCCACTGCCACCTGTTGACCTTCCCCAGCCTATTATTCTAGCAGTTCCTGAGATCCCAAGGCCATGGGCAACTAGGGTAGAAGTGCATACAGATGGATGGGCAGGGCAGAAGGAATCTGCCAGAATCTCAGGTGGGGGTCCCATGACCTTCCCGCCCTGCCTTTCCTGTGGGAGCGTCAACAGTCAACAGATCTCTCTCACGATGGAGTGCAGGTGAGCATAGCAGATATGCTGACACTGACAGCTAGTTTGCATGAAGGATTACTTTCTACAAAGTCAACCCGCATGTTTTCTTCTGTGTACACTTTAACCACACACAGACAAGCCACACGCCTCTTAGGAGCCACCCGTCCCCTCCTGCCCGTGACAGTGTGCGGCATCTCCATTGTAATATCTGGGCCAAAGGTACCTACCACTTCTCTCGGTTTCCCCCAAATGGCCTGTAGAGTCTGGAGGTGCTGTTTGCTATTTGCCGCAGGGGGTCATGCACACCAGTTCGGCCTGCCCGTGGCTCTGCACATGTTAGTCATGTGTCCCTGGACTCTGGTGGACCCCTAGTACAGGGCTGAGGGTAGCTCTATTCATTCTGGTTTTATCTTGTTCAGCAGGATACTGAGGCGGTCATATGCTGAGGAAACCAGGAAGCGGTTTCTAGAAAGTATAGTTTGGTCTGCTGATCTCACCAAGGGATGCCTTGAGCCAAGCCAGCACTGTGCTGGGGAGGGAGTGGAATGGACAGACTGTGCACACTGCTCTTGACTTTGAACTTGGGAGTGTCTCAGCTGTCACATGGTCCTCTGCTGCTTAGATGCTCAGTGCTGCTGGGAGGGTATGAGCACTGGCCTGTCTCTTAGAGGATGTGGGCTAGGTGAACAATGTCAGAATGTCACTACCTTCTTTGCCTGAACTGTCAACACACTGGACTCAGTCCATCAAAAACCCCAGCAGAACACAAGTCCTCTGCAAAGGTCCCTCTGTCCTGCTCCACATCTGCCCCGCTCCACATCTGCCCTGCTCCACATCTGCCCTACTCCACATCTGCCCCGCTCCACATCTGCCCCTCTCCGCATCTGCCCTGTTCCGTATCTGTCCCTGCTCCGCATCTGCTCCACATCTGCCCTGCTCCGCATCTGCTCCACATCTGCCCTGCTCCGCATCTGCTCCACATTTGCCCTGTTCCGCATCTGCCCTACTCACATCTGCCCTGCTCCACATCTGCCCCGTTCCACATTTGCCCTGCTCCACATCTGCCCTGCTCCACATCTGCCCTACTTCACATCTGCCCTGCTCCA